AGTTCAAACTGTGACCTTTTACACTGTAAAATACAAAATTTAGAACCTTTGAATAAAAAACATTGCAATGACTTGATGATCTGTCATTCTTCTACAATAAACCAGCGAATGTGACAGTTCTATAGATAAGTTTTAAGTTCAGCGACAGGAAGAATTTAGTTGGAAAACATTGGGGTCCATGTTAACATGATTATTCGGTTATGGTTAAGTGATGTTTATGGGGTAGGAAATAGTTTGAAATGGGAAACAAGCAGCGGTATCTCATTAATCTTGTGTCAGTGTTTTCTTGACTTACTTATCCACCCAGAAGTCCCTATTGGGTTGTTCTTGTTTTATAATAGCATCAACTGATTACTTTCTTTCCACCTGATCAGTTTTACAGGGTTTGTCCATTGAATTTAAACAGATTAGTTCCACTTCTCAGTTCTTCTTTCATTTGTGGGTCCTCATACAAACCGTTCTACATTCTACTGTCACTGTTTTATTTATTGTGTGCAGAGCTTTTTATATACAGTTTATAGTGTAGAGTTAGAATTGAGAAACTTTTGTCTTCATCCAACCTGGTTTATCTGCAATGAAGATTTTATAGTCAGTGTTTTTTTAACAAAATTAAACTGAATTTGCTATATTAATGTTCACATGTGTGGTTCTTATATAAGTCTGAAGGATTTACTGAATCAAATGCTTGACGCTAGGACATTACATTGTCAAAACAGTCAACAAACAGGCCGAAACACAAGCACAATGTCCTAAAAGACATATTTTGTTTGCAAAAGGCTCCAAAAATCACAAAATATTAAACATGTAACAAAAACAAATACTTCCCTCAAACACCACAACTTTTGGTCAAATTAACATTATTTCAATCGATCAATCATAACAGAACAAACTATTAATTACAGCTATCATAATGAACCAGTTGAATTGTTCTGTTTACTTCACATTTGTGCTGTATCTGGAATTTTTCTGGAAGCTAGTGAAAGGAGACAGGCAGCCGATGTCTTATGTAGATTTGAATGTAGACTTGATGCATCAAGGACCAGAACGTGAAACAATATACGAATGCGAACAGACTAACATGAGCAATGTCACCCCCAAGTCTGAAGATGTCTCCCACAGCACAACCATGAATTTCCAAAATTCATTTCACTCTATTTGTTCCATGGAGGTGTCCGCATCCTAATGGATAGATTAAATAGTCTAAATATGCATTCATAAATCACATTGTGTCCTTACATTAAGCCACTGGTTGACATTGAAGTTGGGGAGAGTTGAAGTTGGTGCCTCTCTGTCTGTCTGGGGAATCTGAGTTAGATATGAAAGTCACTAAATGTAGACACTACAATGTTCTGTTGGTTGGTTCTTTATCTGTAACCTGACCTTGGGCACTGCAAAGAGAGAGAAGGGAGTATGATACGGGCCTCTGCAGTGTCTTATATCTTCACAGGTAAAGCATTCCTCCACCCTACGCACCTCCAGGGGATTCTGCCTGGAGCACCACCAGGAGTCCCGTGTTGCGGCTGTCTCCTCCCCCCCAACGGCGACCAATCTGGCTTCCTTGTCCCCATGGGCAAGAATACAAGAAGCCCTGGGGGATGTTGACTGTGGCGGCTGAGTTTTGTGTGATCGGTGTATTGCCTAGGTGTATGTTGTCCTGGTGTAGGACTAGTCATAAGTGTGTATGGGTTTGTAATGTAAGTGAAACGTTTGTTCTGTGACTACAGGGTTTTCTGTTGGGCTATAGGTTAGTTTTTTATTTTCTTTATCCCATTGTGCACTTCACCCAGTGTTTTTTCTGTTATTTCACTAGGCCTTATGGGTGATGGCCGAAATGTATTTATATTTATGAGGTCAGGGTATGTTCGGTGGTAAAGACAGTTTTTCGTTTTTCTTTGTGTGAAACCTTGAGTAAGGAGATTAGGGACCACGATTAGGAAGAGGGGTAGGTTTTGTTCTTTCTATGAGTTGTTGTCACCCTCCCACATTTTGTGTTTACTATTTATTGTGGTGTAGGTAATACATTTAGCACTTAATAATAAAAAGGCTGTGTTGCCAGACACCATCGGCGCTGAGTTGCTTCCCTTTTCTCCCAGACAAAATCTGGGTTGTGCAGTTGAAATTGCTAAGAGTTGAAGTTGGTGCCTCATATTGGGCATCTGAGTTATGAAAGTCCCTAAAGCGTAGACACTACGATGCACTGTTGGTTGGTCCTTTATCTATAACCTGTATACAATATTCATAACATATCACAGCATGAAATGTATTATTTTGGTTCCAAGATTATTATACTAAAGATATAACCCTGCTGTTCTGTGCACATGCTGTTTTACACTTAATTGCTCGGTTGTAAAACAGTATAAAGAGACATTTTCTCATTAAGTTTTATTAAATAGATGATTTTGTGCAGGTGCTTATGGGTCTATGAACTGCCTTTGACATGTACGACCTACAGTAAGCATCTAAACTAGACCAATGTGGACATTGAATATGGTTCATCTTTTGTTCTGCTTTAGTGCATTTTGTATTTCTTATATTACTGCCATGTAATTGGCCTCTTTGATGCTTTCAAAGAGAAGTACAGAAGTGATACTTTTTAAAGGTGGATGACGACTGATTACTGATTAAAGGAGCTTCACACAGATGCATTAGAGACATTCATCTGCAAGTCTTTTCAACCAGAAGTGAGTAGATGTTGTACTTTTGTCTCGCACAGTTAAACCAATAGTTTAGCATATTTTTATGATATATGTGTTGATTGTTTTGAAAGGGTGTAAAAAGGTGTGAACAGTGTAATGGAAAATATTTTTTACACTATTATACTATCTCTGTTTATGTAACTGCCAAGATGACCTTTAATAACCTGCCTCACAGCAGATCTGGTGCTCGCTGTACTCGTCTCCCCATCTCAACCTTGAAGAGGCCCTCAGCCTTTTTCTTATCTCCTGGGTTTTCACCTTTCACTCTTTTCACACGCTAGGATCATTATCACTCAGCTGCATTAAAGAGCACACCTGCAAATGTTTTGTTGTCTTTCACTTGTTGCATGCTGTACGACTATCAGACCTTCTTTGCAAAGACTAAAGCACGCAGACTTTTATTCTCAGATCTCTTTATTTCAGAAGCCTCACCAGGTGACATTTCCATCACAACCTGATGAAAAAATGTCTTTTAGAAAGGACTTCAGCAACTCACATAGGGCTGGTGTTGTGCTCATTGATAACAGTGTGTCTGGTTGGCAGAACAGGGCCATCAACTTCCTGTGGCAGGACAAATGAACTGGATGCCTCTGTGCCTGGTGTTGTTCAAGTTTCAAATTTCTTTGGCTGGCATAAGAAAAAGGTACCCTCCTTCCATGTCAAATGAAAAAGACAGATATATATCAGTCACTGACTGGTCTTATAGTTGTTAACCACACAACTCCATGTAAGGTTAGGAAAATGTCAATCAGCGGCACTCACAGCCTAAGTAACCAGACAAAAGATTAAGAAAACACCTTTGTGGGTATAGTGCATGGGTGTAGTGTCCTTAATCTCCCAGGAGTGAATGAAGAGAGCTTAGACGAAGACTCATTTGTCACTGACCTTTACTAATGAGTCAGTGGAAGTGAAGTGAGGCAGGCCATAATGGCTAACAAGACTCCAGATAGCCTCTGGGACTTTTTAAAGAGCTCCTGTTCAAAACCACTATCAGGGTCAACAGGATTATGAAACATTGGCAGATCACTGACCAAACCTGTCAATCTGTGATGTAAAGGCAGCCGTGCTTCAACAACATTTATATAAATACAGACCATTCTACTACCTTCCCCAGTGCAGCCCAGGCAGTGAGGGAAGCAATACAAATTAAACAAAGAAGAGAGGAAAATGTTAATGGAACAAGGACTTTATTTGCAACAAAAGTAAATGATAAGTAATGTAAAACAAACTTCCTCCAAGAAGCCGATATGCCCATTAAAAGACAGCAAACTGAAGTTTACTTAAAGATCACCCCACACTATCATGAATCTCCGTTGTACCAGACAACAAGAGTCTCTACCAACAACCACACAGCTCTGAAGCTGCCAAATAGTGCATTTTGTCTAGGTCCCTTGTGCAACAGTTAAGTTATGTTATTTTCCTATTTTCTAAGATTTTCAAACGCAAATAGACTTTGCTGATACTTC